AAAAACTCTTTTAAAAAAATAAAATAAAAATAAAAACTACAATTTAAAAAAAAAGTTTCCAATAATGTAGTTATGGGGCAACCAACGTGAGGCTTGATTTTCAGGTGTTCTGAGTTCCCATCTCAGGCAGATGAACCCTCAATTTACCCAGCATCTGGGATAAATTATTTTAATAGCATAAGAAAAAGGATTTTGATACAGTAGATACACATAGTAAAAACAACAAACATTGGCTAGGCAGCTGACTAGTAAATTAGGACCTGGTTTGTGCAAGTAACAGGGATCTTAACAGGTAGATTTTTATTCCTTGCTGAACCTTAGTAATTAATCATAGAAGATTAGGGTTGGAAGGGTCATCTAGTCCAACCTCCTGCTCAAAGCAGGACCAACCCCAACTAAATCATCCCAGCCAGGGCTTTGTCAAGCCGGGCCTTAAAAACCTCTAAGGATGGAGATTCCATCACCTCCCTAGGTAACCCATTCCAGTGCTTCACCACTATCCTAGTGAAATTATTTTTCCTAATATCCAAACCTACACCTCCCCCACTGCAACTTGAGACCATTGCTCCTTGTTCTGTCATCTGCCACCACCGAGAACAGCCGAGCTCCATCCTCTTTGGAACCCCCCTTCAGGTAGTTGAAGGCTGCTATCAAATCCTTCCTCACTCTTCTCTTCTGCAGACTAAATAAGCCCAGTTCCCTCAGCCTCTCCTCATAAGTCATGTGCCCCAGCCCCCTAATCATTTTCGTTGTCCTCCACTGGTCTCTCTCCAATTAAAAATATTGTTGATCATGTCTGGATTAGTTGATATGCCCCAAATATTTAAATTAGTTTTACTGAGGATGCAACAAAGTAGAAGTTTGTCAGCTGAGGCTCCATATAAATGTGGACTGTGGATCATAGTAAATGAGCAGCACCTCTCAGGAAGCACTGCTTGCGGGAGGGGGTGTGCGCAAAGGTTGTTTTAAGCCACTTTATCAACTCCTTAATTATGAGTCAGTCTCCCAGTGCAAGTTAGAGAGGCCATATGTGCCACTCTACTACCTCAGAACAGCCCTTTCCTCCTGGGCATACCACTGTGCCAGGGCTATATGGTGGACAGGAGAACTATTCTGCCAGCCCTACACTGCTCAAGGTAGCCTCTTAATTCACACCAGGACTATTCCATGGAGATTGGTTCAGATGGATCAGGGCCACATGATCTGACAAATTCTTAAAGTGGACACATACGTTTGTTTAAATTTTGAAAATATTTAATGCAGGGGGTTGAGACACTGATTGTGTTCTTGCTTTTCAGAGGATACACTGAGCTAAAATTCTCCCTAGGACTTGGTGTACTTGCTTCCAGGGATTCGTTTGTTCCATTCTCTTGTGCTGTTTAATTCTATGCTGCACAAGGCCTGCTGGGTCCAATCCTGCTCCCACTAAAGTCATGCTTTGTTATTGATTTCAATGGGAGCATAATAGGACATAACTTAATGCCATGAGATTTCTGTAGTCTAAAATAATTCACTGAGAATCAGTGCACTAGAGCAGCTGGCAGAGCATAGAGGTTGGTATTCAAATCAGTTCCCTTTAATGCAGGTTGTTTTCATGCTATGATCCTTTTTTTAAAAAAAGGTACATGCACAGTATGCCAGATCAGGAACTCATTCCCTGGCCGTGTTTGCTGAGAGTTACAGTGCTGAACTCTCCTGAGGGAACATGCTTGTTTAGCTGCAGTAGCTAGTGGTGGAGATTCTACTCTCTGCAGCACAAAATCTGCAGTAGAATTAAATTACTGAAGAGTTTTCCCTCAGTCCATTTTGCAAACCCTCTTGTGTGCCATTAACTCCACGAGACGGATGCGGCGTTGCTGTATTTTATTGTTAAACTAGCATTTCTTCCTGAGCTCGGCATCTTGCTCCCCAGGTTGGCAGCAGGTGGGTACACTGCAGAGACAGCAAATGCAGCTTGCAGGAGGGGCGGACAGAGGAGGAAGAAGGCTCATGCTACTCTCAAAGAACCTCTGCCAACCAAACACAGCAGCAGAACTGATGAGCCCCACAGAGAGCGGTGGCCAGCTCTCCTCAGCCTAAAGGACAAGTTAGCACAGCTCTGAGTCTTTGATGATGCGAGATGGACAAGTGAAAAGCAGAGGAAACTTACCTCCCTCTAACCCTTATTTCTCTCCTCCTTACAGAAACATAAGCATATCAGGGATAAACATAACCCTTATTTCTCTCCTCCTTACATAAACATAAGCGAATCAGGGGATTGGATTAGATGACCTCCTGAGGTCTCTTCCAACCCTAATCTTCTATGATTCTATATCTCAGTTAACACATGAATCAGAATGTATTTTTGAGTAATTCAAAATAAACAGTGAAGTGTATGTGGCGAATCCAGAGTGCCCCATGCACCCATACACATCTAGAGCATTCATGCAAACCCACACTATCTAGAGCATGCATGTGTAACACCGACAGACCCTGGTCATGGGCAGGCGGGATCGAACCTGGGACCTCTGGAGCTTAGTGCATAATCCTCTACTGCAGGGGTTCTCAAACTGGGGGTCAGGACCCCTCAGAGGGTCACAAGGTTATTACATTGGGGGTCGCGAGCTGTCGGCCTCCACCCCAAACCCTGCTTTACTTCCAGCATTTATAATGGTGTTAAATATATTAAAAAGTGTTTTTAATGTATAAGGGGGGGGTCGCACTCAGAGGCTTACTATGTGAAAGGGGTCCCCAGGACAAAAGTCTGAGAACCCCTGCTCTACTGCATGAGCTAAAAGCCAACTGGCTGTTAACTACGGCTGTAGAGCAGACTCATTTAACTCTCTCTTCTCAGTGCCACTAGATGGGACAGAACACCACACCCCAAATGTGTGTGGGTTACACATGGTCCATCTGGAGTTTACCTCTTCTTGTTCCATTAAGAGTTTGCATATACCCACTCTGCTTACCTTGAGAGTCCCAGATAGTTACATGCCTCTTTTTCAATGTATATATTTTCAGGTTTGGGACAGGGAATTGCAGAATAAATCCACTATCCATGTAATTACGACAAGGGTTCAAGCTCCCATTTAAGAAGCTCCTTTGTGTCATTCTCACCCCTGTATTGTTTGATCCCCAACTTTCTGGTTGTAATACAGCACACGCAACCCCATCTCCCTATTCTGAAGTGCCAATGGATGTGGTTTTTGGAGTGGTGGACGATACCTCTAAAAGTTGTACACTGAGCAGCATCACTTGTCCCAGTCACCTAAACTGCCTCAAAAGCTACCTGAGAGATCGGAGTTTTATGCAAACAAGTGACAAAATCCTCAGTCTCCAGCAGTGCCACCCAAAAAGCTGATCCATGGGGCACTGCTGGCGCAGACGGGTAAGCTTCTTCCTGTCCAACAGGAGACAAGATAATAGCAGCTGCTAAAAACAGACAGGGAAAGAACAGTATTCAATTTGTTCCTCCTGGCAGGCTTAACTCATTTGCAATAGAACTGGGTCTATCTTGGAACAAGGCTCCACAGCAGCAGCACCTTTATAATTCAGAGCAACACAGGCAGAGCATCAGGAAAGAGAGGGACTTGCTCCAAAGGGGAAAAGATCAAAATGGAGAAGGAAAAATGGCCTGAAGGATCCCTGCAGGCCGCAGTGTGTTCCCATCCATCCACCCACCCAACCAGGGGAACATGTCTGATGATTTCCTTCCTAAAAGGAGATTTGATGAAGGTGTGTGGCACAGGAAAGCTAATTAATTCTCCCTCAGGTGCTGGGCACTAGCCTTTTTTTTGTGTGTGTGTAAAGAACGCTTTCTAGCCAATACAGCAATAAGTTGTGCCAGGATGCATTACAAACAGAAGGAAGAATTAATAGCTGGAATAAATGACTGGGATCCAGGACTTTTGGGGCTAGATTTTCACCTTGTGTAAATCATTGTAGCTGCATTGAAATATGAGGTCCATTTTTGGCTCCACCACTGCTTTCAGCTCTGACCTTATTTGTCAGAGTTATGGAGCACATACAGTTCGGTTAACTTCAATTAGAGTCACAAAGTGCTCAGCATCTCTGAAAAATCAGGCTGTAAGTGACTTTGGGCACACATCTCTGTGTCTCAGTTTTCTGCAGAATAGGGCTAATACACCACCATACCTCCCAGTGAGGTGATCATTCATTCATTCATTCATTCATAGCAGTGCTTTGTTACTCTCAGGTAACTAGTGCTATAAGTGCAAATTGTTTTTGTAAAATATAATGCACAACTCTAATGTGTACAACTGAAGATACCTATGGTAGATTCTCATCTCCCCCTCAAAACAGTGGACTATTTAACAGTGATATACTTGTTGCCTTAATATATTGCTTTGGGAATAAATTTAAAATACACCGCTACCTCGATATAACGCGACCCGATATAACACGAATTCAGATATAACGCGGTAAAGCAGTGCTCCGGGGGGGGGGGGGGCTGCGCACTCTGGTGGATCAAAGCAAGTTCAATATAACGCAGTTTCACCTATAACGCAGTCGGATTTTTTGGCTCCCGAGGACAGCGTTATATCGAGGTAGAGGTGTATTCCTATTTTGATGCAAAATATGGCTTGCTTTTCTTTTATAAAAAAATCCTTATTTATGCATGAAGTCATACAATAATCAGGCAACGTTATATTCCTCCACCTGTAACCTCTTCTAAATCCTGAATATGTAGTCTTCACTGGCCAGCTGCCACTTGCAAGTGTAGAACCAGCATATGCATTTTTTCTTGTGCAATAAAAAGCAATTGAAAGCATGTACAGCTTTGAAAGCGGTACCTGAACATTGTTACTTTGTTTAGCATGATAGAATTAGCTTTGTATGTATCATTTGTGATTAAGTGCTTTACAAATTAACAAGATATTCAAAGCCAACCCAGCAACCACCTCCCAGTATCCCCAAAAGGGCAACATCCCCATCTCTGAGATGTTGGCGCCAGATCTTTTCCTTGGTAAAGTTTTCTCCATGCATTTCTGAAGCATTACCTGTTTCCTCCACAGGGCACTGGATGATGCTGGCTTGTTCACTAGTAGGATTTCGGGGCTTGTTTCCTCAGGGTCTGAGGAGCCCTTCATGGACTGCTCCACAAGGCAGCCTTTCAGCCTCACATCTTGGGCATTCTAGCAGAGAAAGACAAGTATACTGAGCATCTGCACAGAATGAGTGAATCCCCCAGGCAGCAGAAGTACCTAGTGCAGTCATCCTTCAGGGGTATTAGTCCATTACAAGATGGACAGGGCTTGAAGCCCATAAGTTTTGAGTCCACCAGGTTAAGGAGCCCTATACAGTAGGATTTGACCAAGTAGAGTTTGGTCCAGGGTAGGATTAGTTCACAACTGTCAAAGATAACAAATCAGAAGTAGTTCTGAAGACTTTAGTAGATTCTGAAGAAGCTTAGCCTGACCTAAGAACTAGCAAGTCGGACACGCTTCAAGTTCTGTTTTTCTGCCACAGGCAGTAAGAGGGAATCAATAAAGAGTCACATCTGTCCCAACCATTATGCCCTTCTATGGGATCACAAGGGGCACATGATGCATGTGTAGCCCGACAGACACTGTTCAAAAACCTTCTGGTCTGGTGTGCAAGGCACATATGGCAAGTACAGTGGGATACACAGCTACGCATACTTGAAGAATCTGATCTTTGTGACACAATCAGTTCCACAGCAAATAACTGTGATGTCATGCACAGAGGATTGGAATCTAGTGGGAAGAGGCAATAGGAACAAGTGAGCTAAGCAACAAAGATGCTGTTTTCATGCAAATATCCTTGTATGAAACAACAAGGGAAAAGATATAGAAGAAATATATGCAGCATTGGCAGAACTGTCTCAAAATAGAATTGTTTGCAACTTTTTCATGAGGTGTTAGAGCTTTAAAATATGCACTTCACAATTTCAGTGCAGAGCCAGATGACAGGGAATATTTTTTCAGTGTCGCTGAGAAAATCACGTCCTAATCACATTCTTCATATATGTGAAGCAGCATGAACTTACACAACTGTAACTTACAGAGCTTTTGTACAGTTTGAACTGTCCAGAGAAAAGGGTCTCCACAACCCCCTTCTTTTTACATGAATTTTAATGCTTGCAAGAGCTGATAGACTGACAGCCCTGAAGCCAAAAAGGGGATCTGTAGCCCATTACCATTCCCTGAGCTATTCATTTCCTGAAAAAGAACTTGAAGTGTATTCTGACAAAGCTGGCCTTAGGCCTATGCTGAGTGTGCAGCTGCAGAGAGCCCTGTGCTTTGGGTAGGAATACTCAGCCATTCTTCACTTCCTCTAAGTCTGTGAACTAGACAGGTGAAAGACTGGAGGATTCTTACCACATGGGTAAGCATCCCAGTCAGAACCAAAGGCAATGCATGAGTGAAAAGGTGGGGAAGGAGGAGGAGTAGCCCAGAGTGGTCAGAAATGATACCCAGGCAGACTGAGCCCAAAAGATATACTCTTGCTTCAAGAGGCCTTCCCCAAAGCCTGAGCTGCAGGAAGGGGCTAGCCATATGGAAGAGGCATTGCTCCAGAGCTCAGGACAGAGGAAGCTGGGCCCCAAGAATATCACTTCAAGTGGTGATGATGGGGCCAAAGTAAATCTTGATAGGGGAAGAATGAGGTAGGAACTTGAATCCAGAGAAGGAAGAGCTGGGATGCAGGAGCCAAAGGCCAGAATAGGGAGGCTGGAAGGCCAGTCAGAGGGTGGCTAGGAGAAAGGTCACACTGGTCTAGCTGTATTTGGTGGGAGGAAGGGCATATCAAATGGGAAATCCCTGTGACAGGCATCCAAACCAAACCCCCACGCAGTCCAAACACTCCTTCACAGACAAATGCTCCTCATGGCTTCTCTTCCCAGCTGAGGAAACCCTGCCTGATCCCCAGCAGCAAAGGGCCTTGCATCCTGCAAAACCTTTGACTACCTTTGCTTTCTGAACAGGACCTAGACATGGGAAATGATGTCACTGTCACACATGCTGCAACTGGAGGCAGTGGAGAAGAAGAAAGGAAAGTCCAGCGTCAGCAAGTGTGTGTGAAGTGCTTACTAAAGAGTGCAAGACTGAATGAGAGCTGTTCCCTTCTCCAGTCTGAGGTGCTCACTGAACAGACATAGTCAGCCCAGTGTAGTCCTGTGTTAGGGTCTCTTGGGCAGTGATGATACAACTCAGCTCTCTGACAACCTGAGCTCATCAGAACACACGTCACCTGATGTGCAGAAGTTTGTAGAGCACTGTGGCTAAATCTAAGGAAAGGGAGTTCATTCTTCTGTGATACTTCCCTTAATTTATTCATTAAGTGAAAGTGAGAAAAAGCTCCCTCTAGGCCGGGCCATAAAACAGTTTTATATATATGTGACCATTAGGGTTACCACATTTAAAAAATAAAAAAAGAGGACACTCCACGGGGCCCTGGCCCCGCCCCTTTCCCACCCCCGGCCCGCCCCAACTCCGCCCATTCCCTGCCCCTTCCCCAAAGTCCCCACCCTAACTCCCCCTCCTCCCTCCAAGCCACGCGAAAAGGGCTGCCCAAGCACTACCGGCTTCACGGTTTGCCGGGCAGCCCCCAGACCCTGCGCCCCTGGCCAGCACTTCCCCAGCGCAGCTGGAGCCCGGGAGGGGAAGCGCCCAGCTGGGGGCACAGGGTCTGGAGGCTGCTAAGCAAACCGTGAAGCCGGTAGTGCTCGGGCTTCGGGCAGCCCCCATGCCTCCGGACCCTGCGCCCCCGGCCGGGCACTTCCCCTCCCGGGCTCCAGCTGCTGTGCTCCTGCCCTGACTCAGCTCTGTTTAAGAGCCGAGCGCTCCAGCTTCGAGCAGCCCCCTTGCCTCCGGACCCCAGCCGCCGGCCGGGCACTTCCCCTCCCGGGCTCCAGCTGCTCTGCTCCAGCGGCGCAGGGTCCGGAGACATGGGGGCTGCCCGAAACCGGAGCACTCGGGCAGCTCGGCTCTTAAACAGAGCCGAAGAGTCGGGGGAGGACGGGGGTTTGATTACCAAAAAGCCGGACATGACCGGGAAAAACTGGACGTATGGTAACCCTAGTGACCATAGCATAGCAGAGCCAGTGAACAGCCTCAGTATCAGGCTGTGCCCTCCCTATCTAACAAACATGAGCATGGGCTGTGGTAGCTAACTCCACGGGTCCACTCTGGAGGGGAAAGGAAGGAATGGACAGACAATGAAAATGGGACACTGTAAAAGCAAGAGAGGCTCTGAGTGAACCCCAGCGATAGGAGTATGAGGCACAGTGCCAATGGAATCTATTCAGGGCCAAAATGAAATTTGCAAACAAAAGTTCAACTCTACCTGTGATCGCCAAGCTCAGACCTTCGACATCCAGGCAGCTAAATGAGTTTTCAAAGTTAACTGCTGGAGTTTGAATGACCTTGAACTGTCATCCAGTTTGTCCTAGTTGCAAAATAATCTGCATTTGTACAAGATGCTGATTTTCAAACAAGTCTCTACTATCTATGTAAATGCATATTCAGTGGCGAAACATCTAACAGCTCAACATCTTACAGCCAGAGCATGTTTTAGGGAGATAGGGAAGAGAGTCAAGACATCAACTGCATCTTGGGTTAAGCTTTTCCCCCTTGTTCTTTGAGCATGTTATTTATTATTACTGTGTTGTTTTCCTTTGGCATACAGAGTCACATTCCCCCCTCAAGTGGCTTTGGGTTCAATGGGAGCTCTTCATGCATCCAGGGGCAGAACTTCCCTAAAAGTTTTAGTTTTTTTAATACAATCTATGGTTCACAAATACAACTAGAGGCTGTCCCAGCCACCCTGGCATCTTGCCGTCCTGCAGGGAGGCTTTGCTAGTTTTCTCCAATTATACACCTTAAATCTGCCCCCTACCCCATTTTAACCAGCAAGGGTTGTGCACCATCTCACTTTTTGTTGATCACACCTCTCCCAATAACTCCAAAATCCCCATAAAAGAGAATGGCTAAAATTCAGAGAAGATGGTCCATTTATCCCATTCTAATACAACCCTCCTCACACTACAGTATGCATCAATTTTATCTGCAAAGTAGACAAACTCTTCACAGTGAAGGGAGGAGTTATTTGTAATTGGATGGAGAGAGCCTGCATTAGCCAGGCTTTCAACCACAGGAACAGTTCTGCTGGATAATATACTGGAGAAGGAAATCTTCCTCACAGCAATGGCATAGGGCTGCAAAAATTCTTACACCACAAAGTAACCATGAAAATGGGTTCACCATGTTTCAGTCCTTGGCTGGAATTTTTGGAGGGGCTGAAGGAAGATAGGCATCCAAAAACACTTAAAGTCAATGGGAGTTGGAGCACCCAACTCCCTTTGGTCCCTTTGAAAATCCCAGACTTTATTAGGTGGCTCTTTGGTGTGAAATATGCACAAGTCCATTGGGCCGGATGCAATGCATCAGAGGGTGCCGAGGGAGTTGGCTGATATGACTGCAGAGCCATTGGCCATTATCTTTGAAAACTCGTGGCGATTGGAGGAGGTCCCGGATGATTGGAAAAAGGCAAATATAGTGCCCATTTTTAAAAAAGGGAAGAAGGAGAATCTGGGGAACTACAGAACTACAGCCTCACCTCAGTCCCTGGAAAAATCATGGAGCAGGTCCTCAAGGAATCCATTTTGAAGTACTTGGAGGAGAGGAAGGTGATCAGGAACAGTCAACATGGATTCACCAAGGGCAAGTCATGCCTGACCAACCTGATTGCCTTCTATGATGAGATAACTGGCTCTGGGGATATGGGGAAAGCGATGGGCGTGATATATCTTGACTTTAGCAAAGCTTTTGATACAGTATTCTTGCCAGCAAGTTAAAGAAGTATGGATTGGATGAATGGACTATAAGGTGGATAGAAAGCTGGCTAGATCGCCGGGCTCAACAGGTAGTGATCAATGGCTCAGTGTCTAGTTGGCAGCCGGTATCAAGCGGAGTGTCCCAGGGGTTGGTCCTGGGGCCAGTTTTGTTCAACGTCTTCATTAATGATATGGATGATGGGACGGATTGCACCTTCAGCAAGTTTACAGATGACACTAAGCTGGAGGGAGAGGTAGATATGCTGGAGGGTAGGGATAGGGTCCAGAGTGATCTACACAAATTGGAGGATTGGCCAAAAGAAATCTGATGAGCTTCAA